TATTGTCGCGTATTATTTCATCTTTTTTTTTTCACTAATTTTATAAATATTTTTTTTTCTGATAAATTAATCTGAAAATCCTCTACCTCAAATAGATATCTGCATTATTTAAATCCCATCTCATTCATAGCATTAAAGTACTAAAAATTTATTCACCTAACATTTACAACAGCTGATTATGAATGTCACCTTTACATTTAAAAGTTAAAACTGACATGACCACATTTCAACCACTTTTGTATGATTGGTTAGCCAACTTTAATCCACAAACCTAGCTAAATAATGTCTCAACCTCCGTGACAAAACAAAGTGTAAATTAAAGTAATAAAAACATAAAGAAGCCTCCTTATCCATGTACTCAGAATTTCTGTCTTTATCTTTTTTTAAAGGAATTTTTTAACATGTACTTTTAAAGGATAATTAAATTTTATTAAATATAAAATTTTAATTAATTATATGTAAATTTTTATATTATATTTAATTAAAATAAAATATAAAATTAAAATATAATATAAATTTTAAACTCTAATATAAAAAATTAAAAAATAACCCGTGCAACGCACGGGCAAAAAAAAACTAGTTTAAAATAAATTAACAATAAATAAAATAATTTTTTTTCTTTTTTTTTTTTTTGTACATTTTCATTGTAAAAATTAAGTATATGAGTTTTAATATAAAATTTACACTTAATTTAAAATAAATTAACAATAAATAAAATAATTTTCCTTATATAAGTCATGCATCTTTATTACGAAATTTTCTCACTGAATACTCATCAACGTATGTGCCGTGGCATGCAACGAAAGGGGTTAATTTAAACTTAATGCATAAAAATTTCAAATCTTTAAAAGAATTAGTCAAGCTCAATGGAAGTCGAATTCCGATTCCCCTAGGATGGACCTTGATATGGAAGCAATAGCAACCTCGATTGGGATCCCGGTGTTGGTGCTGCACTTCTTGCTCTATTTCATGGCCACAATCTAGTGAGTTTTCTAGTGGTGGCATGTTTTGTTCCGAGTCACTGCCAAAGCACTAAAAGTTGTCAAAATCAAGAGTTTACTTAAAATCGTTTGGGTGAGGTGAGGTAAAATTAAAATCGTAAAATCAAATCGATAAAATTGAGATTTTATTAAATTTAATATATAATATATAATAAATTATATAAAATTAAAATTAAAATTAATTTAACACAATCAAGCCCCCAAACCAACAACTTAGACCCCTAAAAAACCTAAATTTGCTCTCCAGCCATCGTAATAAATCTCATTTCCCTCCCCAATTAATCACCTTGCACCTCTTGAATACATGAACCCTGAACCTCGTTGAGAAATACAATGATGGAATGAATTGAATTAGAGAGTACCCAGATCCCTCGATCAAAAGGGTACCAAAGAATATCCTCCTAATAAATCTAAAGAACCTAGATCCTAATCGAATATGGATTTGAAATGAACCCAAAAGGGTGGATCCTTCAAAAAAATCAAGAACCCCAAAGGGAAAATTAGAAAACCAAAAAAGGGCAAGGCTTCAAAACCTAAAAATAAGAGAGAAAAAACAAAAATGCAGGTATATTAATCAGAAGAGAAAACCAAAGCAAGAAAAAAATTTTGAAATATGTAACGGTAAAGAACAAGGTAACCTGAAACTATTGCGTTTCAATGGTCTATATTTGGTAATGCCAAAAACGAAGCAACGTGACAATAGAAACAACTAAAACTAACCAAAGTTGCTTGCTTTTTTGTGACAGAAATAGCTTATTTAGAACAGGTAATGTCAGGGACAGTTATGTTGGTCAAGGGAAAGGGAAAAAACAAAGAGGGTTAGGGAGGCAATTGCAAATCTAGGAATGAATCCTAAGAATGCCAAGAGCCTGTGGATATTTAGGTTAGGAGGGGCCATGTCTTTGAAGAACAACGTTGATGGTGACAAAACAAAATGTCTATCTATCTCCCTTTAGGCGGGAGAAGAAAATAGAGAAACAGAGAAATAACTCCGGTGATTAGACGAAGGATGGAGAGGAGAGCAGAGAAGATGGGGCAAAAGAAGGACAGAGATGGAGATTTGAGCAAATGGCTTTCAAGTCGAGAAGGTGAAGATTGGAGGAAGTGACACAGAGAAATAGCTTTGGTGACCAGACAGAGGACAAAAAGGAGAGGAGAGAAGGTGGGGCAGAAGGGGGACAGAGATGGAGATCTGCGCAAATGGCTCTCACGTAGAGAAGGTCAAGAATGGAGGAGGTGACATGTGGCGAGATATGGCCCAGAATCTAACCAGGCGTAAAATCAAGATTTTAACCGATTTCACAGTAAAATCGCAATTTTACGATTTTGGCTCTCATTTGATGAAATTTCAATTTTAACATAGATTTTACTCGGGATGCATATCTAAAATCGTAAAATCATATAATTTTACAATTTAAATCACGATTTTGACAACACTACCAAGCACATTTACTTGGGAATGCTTATCTATGGTTTGGGTTCTCTTTGGATCTCCATTTCTTGGCGCCTAACTTGCTAGGTCCCATTACAACGCGGTAAAAACTTACTTTTAGTCTGTTATCTTAATAAATTTGTAGGTTTTAACCATTCACCTTATATTATGACATTTTTAACTCTTTATTTTAATAAGTTTGTAAGTTTTAACCCCTTATATATATGAATTAAAGAAAATAACTTTCACTTAACATCAACTTATAACGTTCTGTTAGTTGACTATTAGCATCCATTAGCGTTCTGTTATAAAAAACATAAAATTTAAATTTAAATTTAATTTAATTTGTTAATTCCGTTAATGAAATATTAAAAGAACATTAATAATTAACTAACAGACTTAACAATCAGCTAATAAAATAAATAAAACATTATAACCTGACCTTAAGTAATAATTATTTTCTTTAATTCGTTTAGGTGAGGGCTAAAAATGTCATAATATAAGGTGAGGGCTAAAAATGTCATAATATAATGTGAGGGGTTAAAACTTATAAACTTATTAAGGTAAAGGACTAAAAATGTCATATTATAAGGTGATTGGTTAAAACTTATAAATTTATTAAAATAAAAGAATAAAAATAAGTTTTAGCCCTGCAACGTACCTCACTGCCCATGTTGTTGGGTTTCTTAGAAATCTAAGTTTTATTAACTTGAAGACATTAAGGTAATGTTGAGAAGCTCGAGGACTAATTCTTTTAAGATTTGAGAAGTTTATGGACTAAGTTTAAATTAATTAATTTCTTTGTGTGCCAATACATTATTGGAAACCAGCGGAAAAATGCATGCCATTGCTAAGTAATACGAAATTAACGGAGCCAACGAATGACGTTAACTGAGGGCTAATTTGCTCCGGCTGTGAAGTGCAAGGACTTATTCACTCGATTTTTTGTTTAGGGGTTGATGTGTTAAAATGGAGTAAGTTTGAGGGCTTTACAGTA